GCGACGATCGAAGGGGCCCCCTCGACCGCCGCCTCCGCCGCACCCGCACCCGCACCCGCACCCGCCGCCTCCGCCGCCTCCGCCGCCTCCGCCGCCTCCGCCGACGCCCCTGCTGCTGACGCTGCCACAGCCGCCGCAGCCTCCCCTCTCCCCTCCGCCGCCGCTCTCGCCGCCCTGCCTGGCACCGGGCTCGCATGGCCAACGATCCCCATCGGCGGCGGCAACGCCGCGCCTCGCCTCGCCTCCTCCCCCGCCCCCCCGACGCCGCCTCCGCCGCCTCCGCCGCCTCCACCGCCTCCGCCTCCGCTTCCGCTGCCTCCGCCGCCTCCGCCGCCGCCTCCGCCGCCGCCTCCGCCGCCGCCTCCGTTGGCCCTCCGCGCCAGCGGCGAGGAGAGCGGCGAGAAGGCGGGAGGGACCGGCGTGGCGCGGGAGGAAGGGGTGGCCCCCCGTTGCGTGGGCGTGCCGCCACCGCGCGGCGAGGAGAGAGGCGTCGCGGCCGGCCACTCGCTCAGCGGCGGCGTCACCAACCCGCGCCCTCCCACGCCCTGCTGCGAGCTCGGCGCGGGCGGCGGGGAGGCGCTGCCGCCGCCGGCCTGCAGCCGCGGCAGCGGAGCGGCGGCGACGAAGGCGCTGGCGAGCTCGATTGATGAGGCACCGGCCGACGCCTCGCTGTCTGACGCCTCGGGCAAGTCATCGGCGCGTCGGCTAGCGCGCAGCGGCGCGGCCTACGCGCTGAATGCACCGACATCGGCTCGCGGAGATGGTCTGCAATGGTCTGTGGAGGGCGCTGCGTGAATGCGACACAGCGACAGTGAATGCAGCGGAATACGGCCGCATACGGCGGGGTCCGTGTCCTCTCGAGCGCCGGTCGGAGTACATGGATGCGTAGGAGTTGGGGAGAGATGGGGAGAGATGGGGAGAGATGGGGAGAGATGGGGAGAGATGGGGAGATGGGGAGGTTTCGGGAGGTTTCGGGAGATATGGGGAGATGTGGGGAGGGGAGATTGGGGAGACATGGGGAGGTTTCGGGAGACATGGGGAGATGTGGGGAGATTCCGCTTCTAAGCGGTCCGGCCCCAGTAGCGGAGGCGGCGGAGCGCGCGTGGAGGCGGTCGAGGGCGAGAGCGGCCGCCTCGCCCGCCTCCTCCTCGCCCAGGAAGGAGGCCCACCGCTTCATCGAGAGGGCGGTGGAGGCGGTGGGGCCCGCCTATTCACAGCCAGACGTGTGAAGAGGCGCCGTTCACAGCCCAAAGGGGGGGGTGCGGTGGGGCGTCGCCTCGCTGCTGCGTCGCGGCGTCGGGCTCAGCGTCGCCGCTTCCGCAAGCGCAGCCTCGGCTAGCGCCGCCCTCTCCTCCGCGTCCTCCTTCTCCGCCGCCAGCTGCGCCACCGCCGCCGTCAGCGCGCGACGCACCTCCTCCTTCTCGCGCTCCTGTTCACGGCTGCTCCCTGTGAAGAGGCGCCGTTCATAGCGACCTCCTCCACAGCCCCTCCTCCTCGCGCTCCCTCTCTGCTAGCTCCGCGGCGTGGGCCGACCGCCGCTCGTCCAGCAGCGCCTGTTCACAGCGGCGTCTGTTCACAGCGACGCTCTTCACACCCCCGACCACCGCTCCTCCCGCAGCGCCAGCGCACGAGCAGCCCGCTCGTCCGCCTCCGCCGCCGCCGCCTCCGCCTCCTCTAACGTGCCGCTGGCGCCCGCGCCTCCGTCAGCGCCGCCTCCGTCAGCGCCGCCTCCATCGCCGCCGCTGCTGCCGCCGCCGCAACCACGACTGCCGCCGGCCACGCCGTCGCTGCCGCTGCTGCCGCCGCCGCCGCTAGCGCCCTCCAGTCTGACCCTGGCGAGCTCGGCGCGGAAGAGGGTGCACCGCCGCTCCGCCCGCCCGAGCGCTGCGCCCGCCTCCGCCGCCGCCGCCTCCGCCGCCGCCGCCCGCTCCTCGGCCGCGGAGAGAGAGGCGAGCAGCGCCTAGAAGGTTCCGAGAAGGTTCCGAGAAGGCTCCGAGAAGGCTCCTAGAGGCCTCCGCCGTCCCCCTCTCGCGGTGGCACTAAGCATCATGCCGCCTCACTCGGCACTCGGCGCTGGCACTAGGCACCGAGAGAGAGAGAGAGAGAGAGAGAGAGAGAGAGAGAGAGAGAGAGAGAGAGAGAGAGAGAGAGAGAGAGAGAGAGAGAGAGAGAGAGAGAGAGAGAGAGAGAGAGAGAGAGAGAGAGAGCAGTAAAAGTATGGCGCTGACTGCAGCACGGCGACGGCGTGCTGTGGTGTCGTGTGCTGCGGTGTGCACGGAGCCGTAAGGCATGGCCATGGTGTGGCCATGGCGCGCGCGTGGGTATGCTCGCCTGCGCACGCGGCGCCATCGCGCGGCAGAGAGGGACGAGCTCCTAGAAGGTTCTGAGAAGGTTCCGAGAAGGTTCCTAGGCGCCATCGCGCGGCAGAGAGGGTCGAGCTCCGCGGCGAGAGCGGAGGCGAGGCCGCCCTCCTCGCCCGCGCCGCCGCCGCCGGCCGACTGCCGCGCCGCGTCGCAGTACTCTGGCGCGAGCGCAGCGCACACCTCCAGGCCATCCGTGAACTCGCGCCTCGCGCCGTCCGCGCCACCGGCCACCGCTGCGGTCTCGTCGCCCGACGGCGCCGGCCGGAGCGCCGAGGCGAGGAAGGATGACTGGGTGCCTCCGATCGCGGGCGTGT